GAATGATTTGTTTGGTGTTGAGGGTAGTTTTAGAAAACTCGATATAGATTAAAAAAGATTTATAACTTTATACGATTTATAATCCCATCTTGTGCAATTTCTTTTAATGTTATTTTGTACTTTGTACTTTGTAACGTTTTATGTTACCACTGAGTTGTGCATCTATTAGAGTTAAAAAAATTCTTTATGCAGCATGTCGTAATGTCGATTTAATTTAATATAACTATAATATTATACAGAGTATCTTAAAATTAACATATTGCTATAATATAAGAATAGTAACATCAAGTTTAATTATAAAATCGTTTAATTAAAATTGTCGTAAATATTGAAAAAGAAAGGAAGATGTTAAAAAAGTTTGATTTTTGGCGCCCCTGCGGAACCTTAGCTATCCGCAAAAAATTGTTGTTTGAGACCTACATAAAATAGTAAAAATAGTTTTATATCCTAGAAATGCAGGGAAAGTAGATTTTTTTATGATATGTTATATCTCTTTTAAGCCTCTTTTAAATCTCTTATAAGTCGAATTTTTACTAAAAAAGTATCAATTATCATGAGAAACAGCAATAAATTCGATTAATAATAAATCTTAGTCTGATATATGAAAATTCGAATTATAAAGAAGACATGATATAACATTAAAAAATCTACCTTCCCTGCATTTCTGGGATATAAAACTATTTTTACTATTTCATGTGGGTCCCAAGCAACAACTTTTTGTGGATAACTAAGGTTCCGCCGGGCCGCCAAAAATCAAACCTTTTTAACATCTTCCTTTCGTAAACATTTTGATATTTTCTTTTAAAAGAGAAATTAAAAATTCTCTGTTTAAAATATATACGATTTTTTAATACTCTGTATATATCAGAGATATTAATCTGTGACATACGTCATGCGAGCGAACAAAAAATAAAAGATAAATATAATAGAAACACGAGCGAAATAATTTGCTTTTCAATGTTTAAAAAACGTATGTAATACAAATCTAAAGTATAAATAAATGTTACACAAACAATAAACTACCTAAATGTACAAAATCTGAATAACTATAAAGTATCCATAAAATTTATCCTCGCCTCCTATATAATTTACGAGCGCAGAAACGGTTTAAAATCATTTTTAGGTGCCAAAAGAATACTTTTTCAGAATTTTTAGGAAAAAAATTTTTTTGCATCTGAAAATGAACTCAAAATTGATGACATATATGTATGTAACTCTGAGTTCTTTTTTTTAACTCTCTGTGCTATCTGGGAATCTTATATGGTATATATAATAATATATATATTAATGAGATTTTATTTTAAACTATTTTGTTAAACTTATAAAAACGTTTTATAAGATATTTACAACATTTCTATAACGTCTTTTTATTAATTTATAAAAGCACCGTTTTTATGCGAGACATATTGTTTGATGATTTACCTTGCGTTCGCTTGGCACGCCTATACGCTCTTGAAATCATTTCATTCTTGTTGTTTATCAAATGTCAAACAAGGAGAAATGATGCTCACGAGTGCTCGAGCACCAAACAGAAGGAGAGTTAATTTACGGATATTTAATCTTAAATAACATTTTTAATGTTTTTACATCATAAAAACATTTTGGCTAAACGATTTTTTAAAACGTTAATATTCTGTTTGAATAGTATCATTAATCTTTTATAGCACAGTATATACATATTTCTTTATTCATAAATAATTCGTATATCATCAGCTTTTACTTCATTATTCTCGTAAAAATCTTTGTTTAAAGTATCCAGCATTTCGTATTTTTGACACATCCCTGCAGCAAACGCAGATTATAATTGCAGTATTGTAACAGCGTTGTAATATTTTTGCAATATAACTGAAATATTACAATGTTGTTACAACATTGCAATTGTGATCTGTGTTTGCTGGGATAGTATCTAAGAAGTTAAATTGAACCTACTATATAAAAATACGCATGCGTGTAAAAATAGTGGGGGCACGCATTTCCCCTGACCATTACAATAGCCATTGGCGCCGACTTGGAAAAAATATTGGGGGGGCAAGACGAAAGCATTTCAAATGATGATCTTTTTTTAATAGTCCCTATAAATTATACCGGAGAGGGGAGAGGAGTAGAAGTGTACAAAAATATGTATATAGATTATATACTTTTACATTGCCACGCCAACGTTACATAACGTATGGTCGCGCCTGACAGTTGCTTTGATCGAATTTAAAATTATTTGCAATTGTTCAAAAATCTTTTGTTAAAAAACGAGAAAGTAAAAAATTATTGCTGGTGAGGGGAGGGGATGAAAAATGCTCTACCCCCTCTAAGTCGGCGCCTATGACAATAGCGCATGCGTCCAAAGGTTCCACGATCTGGGTTCACCGATACCGACGGCGCCATTTGTTTGGACGCGCTACAGAATCGTTTCGCGTTGGAGCACTTGGAGCAGCTCTTCGCTTCGGAGTAAGAGGATCCGGGAGCTATGCTCGGAGGATGGCGCGACCATGAGCTGATTCCCAAAATCGGAGCTCTGGAGTATCATGCTACTACGCGGAGCAGTTACAATTATTTCGCGAACCGATAGCAACGTACGGCCGTCTCGTTTCAACGGCGTTCGAACGAGTCGTGTCTCATTCTACTGAAGAGGTGGTGTCGCGAATAGGATGTCTCTAAGTGCCAGCGCGGAGAACCTGTCGTCCGAGGGACAAGTGAGTGAATCAACGTTCAATTAATGACGCCGAGCTCCACGTGTGACTCACGCTTATCGCTGCCACACCTGTTTCTTCATATCACAATTTTGTTTCGTGCAATCGTTTACTCCGGTTTTACTATGGTATAACTTTGTATTTCGTCGAGTATATGCTCGCATTACGAGGAAAATACTTTATCTCAGTTTTTGTGTTCTGAAGCAAGCTTTGTGGCACTTTGATTGAAAACAGTCTAATTTCAATCAAAGAAATAATAGCGTCTTTTTAATTTTTTTAGTCTTTACATAATGAAACAGGTTATTGATTCTCTCTGCATGCAATAATTAATGCAATGTATCTACTCTCCGTGTTTAGCTTTTCACTTTCAAGCTTTGCTTTACTTCCGATTCTCGATGCCATACCTGGTGGAACCAAGAAACGAATTTCAATTTGCCTGCGTAGCATTTCTTTATATATCGTATAGTTAATACATCGCAAACATTTGCATGATTTATAATGCAAATAATTAAAAAAAAATGAATATGTTATATTAGATTAACTGTATTAACTGTATTAAATTGCATATTCTTTCAATATTACTTTGTAAATGATTGTCTAAAATTATTGTAACTTTGCACTTCAATAAATGCATCCCCATGGCATGCGAAGTCTGCGACGATTAATTAGAAATACAGAAAATTTTCTATAAGAGATATCCCGTGTAACATATGATGTTTGTAACTTGTTTATCAGAATAGCGAGAGATGGAACATGTGTCTGGAACTGGCGCTGGAGGGCGAACGCCTGTGCAAGGCTGGCGATTGCAAGTCCGGGGTGGCGTTCTTCCAAGCGGCAATCCAGGCCGGCACGGACGATCTGCGGATATTAAGCGCGATCTACAGCCAATTGGGTAACGCGTACTTCTACCTGGGTGACTACGTCAAGGCGATGCAGTACCACAAGTTGGACCTGACCCTCGCCAGGAATATGGGCGACAAACTGGGCGAAGCCAAATCCAGCGGAAATCTGGGCAACACGCTGAAAGTTATTGGCAAGTTCGACGAGGCCATGATCTGCTGCAAGAGGCATCTAGAGATCTCTAGAGAGATTGGAGATAAGGTATACTTCGACATACAAAAAAAAAAATCATCGATACCGACGATATTTTTTTCATGTTTTTTTCTGCTTTACTTAAATATTTCGCAATTTTATTTATATTTCTAAACTTATAAATCGATAATTCCGTTATGTGCAGCTCAGCGAGGGAAGAGCCCTGTACAATTTAGGAAATGTATATCATGCGAAGGGCAAGCAAGCGGGTAGAATAGGTCATCAGGATCCAGGAGAATTCTCCGAGGATGTCCGACAGTGCTTGCAACAGGCTGTGCGCTATTATGAGTAAGATTTTATCTGCAATCGTTATCTCGATTAATTTTAACATTTACGTTGTATATGTCTATCAGTGCATGTTGCTTTTTTTTACAGAGAAAACTTAGAGCTTATGAGGGAACTGGAGGATTCCGCGGCTCAAGGTAGAGCGTGCGGTAATTTGGGCAATACATTCTACTTATTGGGCGATTTCCAACAGGCCATTTATTATCACAATGAACGTTTGAAAATCGCCAGAGAATTTGGCGACAAGCCGGCCGAGAGGAGAGCTAACAGCAATTTAGGGAACTCGCACATATTTTTAGGCGAGTTCGAGAAGGCTGCGCAGCATTATAAGTAAATATAGTTTTGCCAAATTAATCGTGCGTCTTTGCAATTTTATATTCAAATAGTATACATTTAACTCTTTAACCTCTTTGGAAACAATAAACTTGCATATGTACATTTGGTAAAAGCCATTTTTGTGGCCGATGGACTCAAGTTTGGCAAACATTTTTAACTTATGCTCTTGACAAGCACAAAATTATCAATAATTGCAGTGAATATATATATATATATATATATGTATATATATGTATATTCAAAGAGTTACTACAACTGAATATCACTTATTTTGACAAATATATCTCTATTACTTGTCAAATCATTATTTCTTTCGCGCGCTTGTTTCTTAAATACGAACATTGAAACTAATTTTAGTTTCTTGAAAGTAAGTTAAGAAAAAATATTTATAAGCAAATAATAAACGCTTGATATATTTAATATAATTTAGTTTAAATTAAAAATTAAAATGATGACATCACGGTTGTATAATTTATCGGTATCTCGCATGCGATATGCGTGAAAGCGATTGCCGGCACAATAGCGAGTTTGTCTGCACAACTTCGAATTGACACGAAGAATCAATGCAGTTTTTTAAATCATCAAAAATTAAAATTTTCTAGGAGGACCTTGGTTCTTGCACAGGAGCTGGGCGATCGCGAGGTGGAGGCGCAGGCATGCTACTCTCTGGGAAACACGTATACACTCCTGCGCGACTATACGGCAGCCGTCGAATATCACCTGTGGCATCTGGGTATAGCCCAACAACTGAAGGATCGCGTCGGCGAGGGGCGCGCCTGCTGGTCGCTGGGAAACGCGTACGCCGCAATGGGTAATCACGAGAAAGCGCTGCACTACGCGAATCTGCATCTGCACATCTCGAAGGAGCTGGAAGATGAAATGGGCCAGGCTACCGCGCAGATGAACGTCGATGACTTGCAGAAAATTCTCGGTCTCGAAAAGAATCAGCAGGAGAGTAACAAGGAGAATCTGAACACGCAGAAATTAACCACAAACGCGACGTCAAATGTCCCGACGACTATGCCCTGTAGATACAGACTCAGACGACAGAGCATGGACAATCTCGATCTCATTAAGGTTCGCACAATTTTCCTTTCCTTGAAACTAGAAAACAAAAGCAACGGTTCTATCTATTATAGTTTATTTTTGCTTAATTCATTCCTTCAATCTGACAATGAAACGTAATTAATAATTTATATTGAAATATTGGAATTCAAATAAAATTAAATTGATCGAAAAATTACACGGAAAAAATTTTTTGTGTAAAACGCCATGTATATTTCACTTTAATTAATGAAACTAACAATTGTTGTATTTTATCAGCTCACACCCGATGCAAAGCAGAAAGATAAGTCGGAAATGTTGGACAAAGAAGACAGTGTTGCGTCTCAAAAAGAGGAAGATAACTTCTTCGATCTGCTGTCTCGGTTTCAATCGGGCAGAATGGACGATCAACGTTGCGCGCTCAACACGAAGCGCAATCCGAAGTATCGAACAATCACGCCGGAAGTATCGGACATGGATGACAAGTATGTGAGAACGTATTAATTCTGTTCTTCTGGATAGGCGCTACTACTCATCATGATAATGCACTATATTATACTCTTGTTGTGTCTAACGAGTGTCTGACAATTTTATTTTTAGAGACGGCGAGGATTTGCTGGAATTAATCGCTGGAATGCAAAGTAAACGAATGGATGAGCAACGAGTGACGTTACCCTATCTACCAGGGCTGAATACCAATCAGGATTCGGACGATTCCTTCATCGAGATGCTCGTTAGATGCCAGGTTTGAATTCAATTTAACGCAGGAACGGAGACTTTTAAATTTCCTGAGTGTGGAGTACCTCATATCTAAACGGCGGAGGAGGGGTGGGGGGGGGAGGGGGGTAATAACACAAATATTTTATTTCTTCTTTGTTGTATGTTAAAATATATTTCTACTTCTATATTTAATTTCTTTTTATATTTTTTCTTTACAAATATGAATACTTTTCTTTTAATTTTATCTCAACATTACGCAAGAACTAGTTCATTTAAATAATTATTTCAAAAAAATTTTTTTTAATATCCCGCATTTAGGGAATTCACACCCACCGGATTTCTGGGTGTGAAAAACTCCATACCCTCCGTAAGAAAGTTTCCATTCTTGATTTAACGTACTGTCGAAATTATCACGTTACTTCCCAGTAAATGAGAATGGATTGAAATGGATTGAAAAAAAAATTCATTTCAACGTTCGCGAATGCGTACTTTTGAAAATCTGAATCCATTTCAATGCCCAATGTCTTTGTTTTCATCTGTAGGAATTGCATGAAGCACATTTTCTATGCCATTCAATTCAAAAAAAGTTCAGCTTTAAAAAGTAAACCGTGAACACTGGTTCAAAATTCTAGATAAGAAATGCAGTTTTTTCAATCAAATTAAATTAACAAATATATATATACATGATTTATAATGAAATAATTTTTTTGTAAAAATAAATCATGAACGTTATTCAATTAAAAATTGTGACTAGGAAATGCATCGTTTCAATCCATCTAATCCAAAAAATATTATATTATATTCGTATTATGAAACAGAAATGTATTAATTTCTACGAAAGCCAATCCATTTCAATTCATGAATTAAAAAATTTTAATCCATTTTAATCCTTTCCCGTTCACTGGGTTGTTTATCGTGCACTGTTTCGAATCTTTTCTCTTACTCGACGGAAAAGGACACCTCGTGCAAAGAATAATGCTTTCAGAGTTCACGTCTAGAGGACCAACGAAGTCCTCTACCGGCTGCATCAACAGTGCAGGACGCCGAAGAGGAGAGAGGCCGTAGAGCCAATGGGAAATCTCAATCAGGTTCCACGGTGCCCGAGGAGGATCTCTTCGCCCTGATCCAAAGACTTCAAGCGGGTCGAATGGAGGATCAAAGGGCTTCCGGGCCCGGCAAGGCGTGCTAAACTCGCGACAGCAGACGGTGATTCAAGTCCTCACGATACCTTCCATTTGCTGAATTCCTTCATCTTACGTGTCCACGACTGCGTCGACGCCTTCATTCGCTTATCGCCGCGATTCTGCTTCCTTGATTACTTAATAGAGGAAAGGATTGGAATTGTACGACTGAATAGAGTCCGATTCGAAGAGGCAACGACTCAAATTACCCGATTGTGAGAACCGAACCACCGTGACGGATTGATCATGCTTACAATTGCTTAAAGGCGGGAAATTCGCATGTCACGTAAAAAAAAAAAAAAGATTATTTGCTATTCTGTCACTGAAAGTATGAAACTAACTGAAAGATTTAACATAGACTTTACGTTTAACTCACGATACTTAGAGGATACTTAAACGATATACGCAGATCTTTTTGATATTTACTATTTGGAAAACTATTTTCCCTTTTTCCTTCGAGTAGAAATAGCGTTGAGGAAAACGAATTCGTTTTTTGCACTCAGGTCTTCGATTCCGTTCAGATGTAGACTTAATTATTCATTTGCGTAGACCGCCGCGTCTACACAACTGGTAAGTAACTGATACTCCCGTAATCGATATTCCGTAGTTTAGCGACTGCTAGCAGCCGGTTGTGCGAAAGCATTACGGAACAATGCAATAAGGTGAACGACTTTTCAGTTGACTGTCTAGTAATAACAACTGCCGCGTTAGTTTCTGGCTAACTTGAATCGAATAAATTATTGTTGCGTAGCGTTCGGTGAATATAAATTGTTTGCCAATCGTGAATAAGTCGCGTCGAGTGTTAAATGTAATGCGTTTTGCGGTTGCCGACGACGGTCGTGATTTATGTGACATGCCAGTAACTAGCATCGGTTTTAGTATTATCAAGATTTTTATAAACGCCTGCTTTTACACGGGTCCGTAAATCGCGCGCGTGCAAAACAGGTTTTCCGAACACTGCCAGTTTGAGGGCGTGAATTATTCTCGGACATTCGCGTTCGTCGTTGACAAACGCGCGTGGCCTTTCAACATTCACATTCTCAAGAGATTGTAGGTTTATTATTTTATACACATATATATATTTTTCGTGCATATTTCGATTTACTTCTATCTCTATAAGGAGAGAGGCGGGATTATTTTTTTAAAGGAATATATTACGCGTATAGAGATGTTATGAACGGTGGATGGAGAAAAGTATTCACGCACCGCCGAGTTTCGCTCTATCAGTAGCTCTCTTAATTGCTAAATAATTGCGTATAAATTAGATAATAAACAACAAATATAAATCGTGCATTGTACGGGAAAAGTCAAAAAGTAAAGTGCGGTAATAATTTTCCTTTACGACTTGTAGAATATTAGAATAGCATTTTTCTCACTCCTGTTTGCAAGAAGTTTTCAATCACGGAGATTGGAGTCACTTAACTTTTTTGAAACTTTTAGAAATTTATATTCACGCGAGATTTAGCTATATTGTTATTATGGTAGTCAAATGCTGTGTCGATTGCATTCTACGAGCAGTACACTTTACTTCTTGATTCACTTTCACGTATGAGATACATATAGTTGCCGCTGGATAAAATATTTTTGATGGATTTTAGATAGAGAGGGAAAGTTAGGATATTTATAACTAAAAAGATCACGGTGCACGAATGTTACTTTTACTTGATATAGGTTCAATAGAGCGGCGATTTGTAGCGAATATCAGTGCCAAAGATTCTCAATATGCTAAAAAAAAAAAAAAAGGAAGAGACTTCGTTAAAAGAAGATAGAAAAGCAAGCTTATAATTGACTGAATCTCTATCGCGTCTTGTCGCACAAATTCTTTCCGCGAAGGCTTACTATCATTGTATTGTAGAGGTACTGACGACGCGGTACTGAAGATAATGTCTGATACTATTTCCAATTGGCGAAACAATAACTCATCTCATTGTATTTATTCCCCCCGCGGTTAGAGAATCAGCGTATTTTCGATTGGTGATATAATTTCGGAACTCTAAAAATTTCGTACTTGTTATGATACACAATATCTGTTACTAATTCAACAGATTCTTATTTAAAGGTTTAAATTAGGACTGACGTGGCCCACGTGGAGATACGTGTTTAGCTGTAGCGCCTCATCTGTTCCAATAATTAAACATGTGTATATAATTGAGTAATTCCATGCCGATTAAAATGTCGACCTAGCGACGAGCCGCGAACTGCAACAACGCTGTCGTTTTATGCGAAAAAGGAAGAGCTATCGTTAATATAAGAGTATAAGTTGACGATTGATTCAACAAGAGTGCAAGAATAGTGATATACTAATTACCGAATCGAGATCGTGCTGAGTATCTTTTGCTATGTTATGAAATTGTAATTGCAAAAAGTGTTGTATGTACACATTGATCGTTGATTTGATCCGTCGGAGAAAGGGCTGAAATTATTATATTGAGAAGACTAAATGACAAATCATGCTGATCGTAGGACTTTCGTGGTCCTTCGAAAAATTTTTTTTCTTTACCATTATTTCTTAAGATATATTCTACATTATAATTACTTTATCTTAACCTTTTTTTTTTATATATAACACATATTCGTTATAATTACACTTAGACGTTAACGCTATAAGTTCTTCGTACTAATCGATATGTAATTTTTAGTTTCACGATTATCGAGGTATAAATACATTCCATTCTGTCCATATGATAGTATATAATATATAAAGGATCAATAAAAAAATATATACTTTTTTCAGAATTGAACACTTAATAATTACAATTCGTCACACCCTGTACAGGTCTCTTTACTTCTTGAAGCTGCAGCTATCTGCGTCTCCCTTCCTATTTTTTTTTCTCGCAAAAATCTTTGACTATATAAATATACTTATATAGTCAAAGGCAAAAATGTCGGAAAGCATCTTCACCGCTGAGATCAATCGTCGTTCCGACACAAACGTCGCATTCGCATTGTGGCCGGAATGGAAAGATTTCGATTTGAACAACGAGAAATGGGGGATCAAAAATGGCCCCGACGGATTATTCGTGGACGCGGAGCGTGTTGCAATACCACGATCTTTAGAACCTGACTTAGAACACTGGATACGAGCGAAGGATTTGAAGCACTTGACTGTACAGCCACTGTTTTAATCGAGTACTTTGGATAACGGATATTAATTTTTTAAATTAATATATATAATAACAATAATATGCAATTTACGCAATTTGATTTGATGCTATATTAATATATCGCATATACTATATTATAAATATAACGGAAATGCACCCTTTCAGGCTTCTCCGACAGTATATACGACGACCATGGAATATCCCGATCTGATTACAAACAATAAACATCTGTTACACAGTGAGGTATTTTAAAAAAATGTAATTTGACAATATACAATTTAAATGGCTTGCTACAGAGCAGTAAGCAAGAGCAGTGTTAATGTTAATGATAATTTCCAGTTTGTGAGATGGTTTTTGTCCGCGCTGGTGAACTTGCAATATTGCGGTCGGGAGGGTTTAGACATCAGCGGTGAGGACTCGAATTTCGCGTGGACCGGTTACCGTAATCCCTGGTATGGTTGGATGCACGTGTACTCCATGAACAAAGCTGGGAAAGACACCCAGCATCGGCCCGTGACAAATCCAAACGGTGGATATGATATATTCAGCTATTCAGCTCGCAATAATTTCTGACAATTTTACATACAGAAGTTTTCGAAAGTCTTTGTGTGCGTTGTCGAAACTCAGATTCGAAAATCGATAATAATTTTTTCGAAACTTAAATCTGTCATCCTCTGCGTAGCCAGCATGTCGCTTTAATCATTCGCAGTTCCAATCAATGTATTGGACAATATGCGTAAATGTATTTTTTAGGAAAGTATATCGTAAGATTACATTACATGGGATGCTGGCGTCGCATTCTGGTGGACGACGTCATTCCTGTTGATAAAAATGGCAGGCCTCTTTTACCGTGCACGTCCAACAACTTCGAACTATGGCCGATGCTTCTTGCCAAAGCGTTGCTCAAGATTGCCTCGCTGACTTGGACCGAACGCCGCGAAATTATCGACTTCCATCCAATTGCTTGCCTCACAGGTGGATATGTCACGTCCATCTTTTTGTTTTATCACTTCGTTTTCCACAAAGTAATGTAATTAATTTAATTTAGAGAAAGTTTCTTTTTTTAAATCTCGTTAATTTCTCGTAATCCGCGCTCTCTGCTATAAATAAATTAATAAGTCGTCATCATATTGATCCTATCCAAAAAAAAGGTGCTGCAATAACATAAATTTTAATAACAATACAGGCTGGACTTGCTTGATAATAAACGTCGCTCATCTAACGTTGCAAGACAAATGGGATTTGCTAACGAAATATTCCGAACACTTCGAATGGACGCCGCGAACCGCGCACGATTATATTCCAGGTGTGTCTATCAAATGTACGTGTTCGCGACGATCTGGTTTGACATTTCTTCGGTTATCGCGTTACGTTACGTATTCCCGTTTGTACTTCCGAATAGAAAGCTCTGCGAATGCGAGAAAACCCGGAGAAACTCAGCAACTGCTCGCGGCCGCCGAGACCGAGAGACCTCAACCAACCGCGTTGTTCCTTCTCTTGAGCGACACGCGAGCACTCGGAAGCGACGTGGTGCCTGGTCTGTCGCCCTGCTGGGATCACGTAATTTACGTCATCCAATCGCGTGACGTTCCTATAGATCCCAAAGATGTAAGGGTATCAAGTTGCAATTCAATGACTATTTCATAATAGTTATTATTATGCGATACGATAACTCATTGCGTAGGAAAATAATAAAAGAAAAATAACAAAACAAAAAAGGAAAAAATAGCATTGCTGACATTCTAAATAGCACAGAAATTTAAAACACAAGTCGGAAAAATATTAGAATTATTGGAAAATTAGATTATTACTAAATATCTCTCTTAAATGTTGCTATAACACTTAAAAATTTTTTTCTCTTTTTTGTTCGGATTGTAATTCGAATTATCTCCATCATTACCTCCCAAGGTAAAACCGCTATTACCGAAGTGGAAGTTTCATCGCTGGTTAAAGTGGGCCGTTTCGCGAAATGTGATCGATCCTGCCGACTACTTTGTCCCGATTCGTTACTTGAGGGTGATCAGCCCTCTCGAGGAGTGCAACAGCAGCGTTGTTCGTGATAAAAATTACGTCGCGGGAAACTCGATCTCCTCAAACGAGATCGAACGATCCGATAAATTTATCCGGAGAAGAATGAGATCTCAGAGAACATCAGACTTGCCCACCATGTCGAAAGAAGAAGCAACGGAAAACGTCAATCGATGGATCGACTTCAATAAGATGGCTTCATACGTTACGGAGATGCATCTGTTCTACAAGCTGGAGCACTTCCAGTACTCCAGTCAAGTAACAAGCGACGTATTAAAGATAGCCAATGAAAGTTATAAAGCGGAAGCAGCAAAAGTTGCTTCAAAAGAAACTGGAAAGGAGAAAGGTACTGTAGCTTTTATGCAAAATTCAAAGTAACATATATTCTTAGATAAATGAAAAAATAATCAAATATCCATAAATTCAAAGAAATTATTATCTATATCATTTCTAAAACTCTTATCTTAAAGTATTCAAATATCTAACGCTATTACGTTGATAATTAATGCCAAAAATAAATTGAATTTTTTAATTTTTATACAAAAGATAAGATTCCAATCTTCTTAAGCTTTTTTTATTCGAACGTTTGTAGATATTTACAATAGCGGCAAGATTTTGAAATCCAGATACAAACCTTTGTATTTATTTTGCGATTCTCCGAAGAAAAAATTTTTCCTGTTCAATCTTTGCACCGCACCGAAACATAAGAATTCCAATTTGCACGAAAAAGATTACTTGATCGTGGAAAAGTACAACTGGTTTTTCATATCGGAGCCATCGAATCAATCAATAATTATTTCCACAACCGGTAACAAGTCGACCATTGTGGAATTGAAAGCTGGTAGGCAACTCTTGCGGATTCACAGCCATTCAGACTTCGGTCTGACGACTATTTCTTCAGACACGAATTTTCATCTTGGAGATTGTGCGACTGTGCAACAACTGATGACCACAGAGTCCGACAGAATCGAACAGATATCGAAAGTAATTAGCGATAACCTTTGCAAGGCTTATCGATCGTTTGGAACAAGGGATTATCCAGCAATGTTAAAGAATCTCTACCGAAGCTACGTGCCTAATTTGCAGTTTGCCTCTTCAAAACAAAATAAAAATTTTCGAACGCTGATACACCGTTTCTTTATGGAAGAACAAATTAAATTAATCAAAAAGACTGTTCCCGATGAAGAACTCAAAGACATTCTCCATTCTTTAAGAGTGTTCTTCCTAAATCCGCATATTAGATCAGAATACCTCGATTTAATGACAAATCAAAAGATTCTTCGAAATCTTACAAAGGAGACTTCGAAAATGTGGTCTTCCACTTCATCTAACCGTAAAGAAGTCTTTACTTACGATCAAGCAGCGACAACGATTCAATCCTTCTTCAGGATGAGTCTAGTAAAGGGGTATAAACAACTTCACAGTCCTGATCACGCTCTCCATACACAAATTCGTGAACGACTTCAGAAAATATCCGACCTATTTGACCCATCTGTCGCAAGTCGATTATTAAGAAACCTCATTAACCGTCATAATGGCTTGCGCAATCTGTATCCTTGCTCCGAGGACTTTATTCACGTTCTGAATATTCAGGAGTTTAGGGGAGTCCTGGAAAACATCAGGCATGAGCAGTGGTTCCCAATTGTCAGAATTGTTGTGAATCCCAAGCCAGACGCGGTTCTCGCGGCCTTCGAATTGCTAATCAATCTTCCTCGTTTTGCATTGCGTGTCTTCAATAATCAAAATGGACGCGAGATGACGCGTCTCGTGAACTGCGTGATGCCAGGTCATTACAAATACCTTCCGGACGGTTACACGGTGTTTGCTTACGGCTGGAGCGATAAACAGCATTTCAAAGAGCTTGACTGGACATTTCGCGTGATTACTGTGAAAGGTGATTCAATGTTTTATCAAGTGGATGAGCAACGGCCTTTGTCCTTGGAGACGAAACCACCAAAACTGATGGTCGACGAATTAGTCGGTACCTATATTCCGAATGTGAGAAATTGTATTTCGCGATGTATTCTGCGAGTGCCTTTGAAGAGAAGTATCGTTTCGATAAGATTGACAACCTCCTACAGCCTGGCAAAGATCAGAATAAAGGTCATCGATGAAGATGGCAACATTTTGATCGATGTGAACGGCGGTTCGACAGTTTTGTTACCCTTCGTGATCTTGAAGCATGCCGCCGAGAATGATGAAGATTACAGGACCGAGAATAACAGTCGAGACATAGGCAAAGAAATAAAAAATGCGGAGAAGAAAAATTTGTATTACATAGAGGCTTTCGTGCTCAACAACAGCTGGCCTCTCACAGATGTCGAGTGGACGGTCGCGAGTCAGGCAAAAATGAAGAGCGCGGGGGATATAAAAACAACGATACAATCCGGAAATAGAACGTCGTTGAGGTCAAGTCTGCCGACGATGAGAAAGGACGTAAAACAAGTCATAAGTAATGACCAAACTTTGAAATCTCCATATTGGATTCTTCAGGTTGTTACAGATGCTCGGGATGCTGTAGAGGTACGCGTTTGTTCCAATTTAATCAATGAAATAGTATTGCTCAAATATTTTCCAAAAATCGTATATTAATTTACAGATAACTAGTATGTTCCTCAATACGAGATCCCAAAATCATAATTTTTTCTAAAGCAATTGTTATCATTTTATTATTATTTTTCCTATAGTTCTCAGTATTATTTTATTTTTTTTTAGAAGATTGATTTTTATCAGAAAATATTTTTTTGTTTTTATATATAGTATATGCATTCGTTAGATCTGTCAAGACACGAGCAGAGAGTCAGAAATAATACTACTGAAAGAATCCTGGTGGTCGAAGGATCCGAATCGATCCGTACGTGGAAAGAATTTGCGAGAAGCCTTTTTGAATGCATACGCCTCGAAAATTGAGTCTGACGTGTCTTTGAATCAAACTGGGACGCAACTGAGATTAATAGAAGACAAAGATATGGAGTTTTGTCTGTCGTACGCGAGACAATACAGAACCTTGAAGCCATCGGAATTTCATTACGATCTGCCCGCTTTGGATCTGACAAAATACATGAAAAGAGACAAGAACGCAAAGGATCAGCGGATAAAAACGAAAAACGACGATGAGATACTGAAAGATCAACATACCGCTATTATCGTCGACAGTCAGACGAATTATTTCGATTACTTGAAGAATTTGGCTGAGCTGATGAACAAGCAATTGCGAAGATACTTGAAGCACTTCGGGAAGAAGGAAAAGAATTTCTGGCAGAGAAGAACATTCGTGGACGCTGTTTACGAAATGAGGAAGATCTACATCGATAGTTTGATACTCGAGAAAGTGAAAAATAAAGCGAATAAGGGGAAGAAGGATTAAGAAGATTTTATTTTAAGTGATATAATAACTACTCTATTACGTTTAAAAACACTATGTGTTTTGTAATTTAAATTAAGTATATATCCAAAAATGACTAACTCTCTTAAACAATTTAAATAATATTAAAGATATTTATCAAATTATCATGCAATAAGCAGACGTGCACAGCTTTCCAGCAAAAGCCGAATGAGATATTGCTATTTTAGTAGCCGCGCGCTACTCCAAGAGCGCTGTTCACTTGAGAAGCACACACTTGTTACGCGTTGATGACTGTCCACGATCCACCTTTTAATGACGCCTCTCTGGCCGCCCAAGAAAGAGATAACGGCGATCCGTTCCGTCCATTTTTCATCCGGGACCAGTCCACGCAGTCTAGCAGGATTATTATGAAATTACGAGAGGAGATGTCTACGCGCGAGAGAGGGTGCTCCGAGGCGTACAGTGGACGCGATAAACGATCGGCAACGTTATCATCGAAAATATTGTCGTCGCTCTTTTAATCGAACCGATAACAAAATCAATTTTTATTTCACTGTCAAACTGACTATGAACTTTCGACCTTAACTAATTTGATTTATTAACTATAATATTAACTTTATTTTTGAAATCTAAATTTTAGTGATCTGATATGGTGATATTTTGCGATCTAAGTTTCAATTTCTATCGTTATTTTATTTTATTTTATACGTTTTTGGTAGAATTGTCTTTAGTCTAGTGTGGTTCTTTCGAATTGTCTTAGATTTTTTGCGTAGCTTTTCGTTTTAAATACCACGACAAGTCGAGCCCGTTTATCGTACATGCTATACGCCGTGGCAGCTTACACGCTGATTGCAGGTGCAGCTGCTACTGCATTCAGGATCGGCGTCAGCTCAGCTAGTAATCACTGTCGATCATGTTTGTGTTAGGCGATCTTGTCTGTCGCGCAGCGAATTACAATTACGGCGTATCGCTGCATCACGCACAAGTGCATACTCGTACTATACTTACATTGAACTGTATCTGAGTATTTAACCTTAGAAAGCATAATTTGAGAACAGATTTGATTTTAACGTTGATTCAAACGTCCTGAGATTATTTGAAAAATTAAAAAGAATTGGAAATTATAAATTAAAAATTTAATATAATAATATAATAATAAGTATAATTTAATATAATAATATAATAATATAAGAATAAGTATAACAAATAAAGACATAAAGGGAATGGCATGTATATAATAACTAATATAAAGTACAAAGGCTTTTTGTATAATCAGCCTTTTTGCAAAACGACGCCTTTTTGAATAACGCCAAGAAAACTAACCCAAACCATTTTCGAAGGCGTTATGCAAAAAGGCGTCTTTTTGCAAAGAGGTTATAGCCTTTTTGCAAAAAGGCTGATTATACAAAAAGGCTGCTATATATACATGCTGTATTATATTAAAACATTATCTTGTATTTTTTAATATAATATTATCTTACTTTAATACAATATTAAATTATATTGTATTAAAATATAATACATATTATATTATATTCAAATATTATCTTGTTAAAAATTTACGAAAAATTTATCTTTTTTATTTCATTGGTTTGATTCTAATTTGCTGAGGGTCTTTCACAATATTGATCAAGGATGCATTTGCAACTCTGAAACTTTATTTATTAAAACTATAGAAATTATGTTCGCAATTATTATGAAACAATCTTTTGTAGTAAAATAGTATCTGTCCTGACATTTGACACAACATCAAACTTGCCGAAGTGTGCCTTTATTTTACATACGGGAGAAAACATTCGATTTCCGGATATCCCAAGAAAAGCAAATACCATCGTACTACTTGACATGCCTCGTTTATTGCCAGGAATGCGCATAAGAAAAATTGAATTTTAAGGCTTTTCCGCTCAGTTGTCTAACGTGGCGAGTTATTTATTCTTTGATTCCTGTTCATTATAACAAAAAGCGCTTATAAAAGCGTCGATATTTCTATAATATTATGTCTTACAACAATGTGTGTGCGTAACAAAATATATAACACACACATTTAGAAATACTTTGTAATAATCCTTGTAACATATTTACATTGAATTTTGAAGTTTAATTAATAAGGAGTAAATATATTTTTTTAAATTATTTTGGTATATATTATATTTATATTAATAAAAATAATAATATATTATAAATATATATGTATAATATATTATATATTTTAAATGAATGTAAAATATATGTATCTCTTTTAAATTTATTTACAATATACCACATATAATACATATACATATATATTTAAGTATATTTATAATCCCATAAAAAATCTTTTTAAAAAAAGAAAGAATATACGCCAAGTACCTAAAAAAATGTGTTGATCAAAAATAGTCGTGAAATCAATAAAATTAACCAAGTACCTCATTATTAAAAAAGACCTCAAAAAGCTTATTTATGAAAAATATTTAAAAATTGAAAAATGGAAAAGTGATAAACTAGAATTATAATGAAGAAAAAACTTGGCGTGCCCGGGTTTGTTTTAAAATGCAATATTCCACATGTTTTATATTAAATTATTTGCAGATATATACAAACATGAAACTAATAGTCAGACAAAATACCTGGGTCGACATGAAAACGCAATGTTCCACAGTCAATGAT